TAGTGTACTTGAAAACGTTCCTAACAAAATATCCTTAGACGATTTAATTACATTCAAAATTTGAGCCTTCTTTTCTTTACTCATAGCAAGCTTAATTTTATATGTCAGAATAAAACAAAAACTATACAAATCACAGCGAATGCGGCAGACACAGATCAACTTCCACCCAACAGTTGAGCGCCGCAACTAGGCCTACAATCACCGTGTTGATTGCAGCGACGGCGGGCTCATTGATGAACATAAATAATAGCGGTTTGATAAATAATGTGTGATTGTTTTACTTATGTGTCTATATATTTATTAATTAAAAGAAAACACTGCGTTTCTACAACTATTTACTTTTTTTATCAAATGAAAACAAAGTTAAAACCCTTTATAAAGGGTTTGAAAACCCGTGATTGAGGTTAGAAATTTGTTTTGAAAGTTTACCTTGTAAAGTTGGTCACGTGACTAGTAGTTTTGGTCACGCGACTAGTAAAATACACTAGTATTTACTAGCGGTATAAAAACGTTTATGAAACACAAATTAGTAGGACAGGTAAATACGGGACTAGTATTTACTAGACTAGTATCTTTATGAAACAGGGCCCAGATGTGATTTGTTTTCATCTCACATTATAAACACCTACTTAAACTATAACACTTTAAAACAACAATTATTAAAACTCAAATACAAGAATCTGCAGACAAGTGAATTTCAACTTGCCTGATTACATTTTTACTAAAATATATCCATAAAAATATTAGACTTATTTATTCCAAATTTAAAAATAACATTAGGTTTAACAAGTGCTTAGATTTGCTGTTACGTGTAAGGTAAATAGTGTTTTTTGACCAAATGTAAATAGCATAGGATGAAATAACTAAATTTGACAAATTTAATCAACAAAAACGAGTAAACTACAACAGTTTTCATTTACTCCATAAGAATAACATAGGAATTTTTAATTTATGCTTGTTTTTAATTTTCTCTGTAACCGTTAAGCACACAACAGCGCTTCAGTATCTATATATTAATAGGCAAGCATGTTTCTTAAAAAAAAATTTTTCAGCTCATGTATTTTTCATCGCAGAGAAAATATACGCACACTAGTGGAAAGATATTTTCCTGTAGGTGTACAGAATCCCTTTATAAATTAAAATAGGCTAAAAAATAAGCACAAAAAATTAGTTTAAAAATTTGAAAAAATTAACATGGATCTTATGGGTTGCCATGCTGGTGACGAAATAACAACAAAATATAAACAGAAAATCAAAACAAATGTAAGAAACTCCAATCACATGTTTTATTTACAGTGTGGGGTGAACATAGAGAAGTCTGTACATTACATATTTTTGGTTGAGTTTCGACCACTGGACGACCTCTAGTACTAATTTATTTATTTTTTACAAGCTCTACAAAATAATGGTTTAGAAAGAAACTGCAAAATTTTATGTGTTTAGATTCGAAAATAGTAAAAAATGGTTTTTATCCCATAAAACTCCTCCATAAATCCCCATTTTATGGTCCGATCATGCTGGTTCACAAACTTGTTTTGAATAAATGTAGGTTTACGCGTTCATACAAAATTTCATAAAAATCAGATTATTTTTAGCACAACTATAATGTTACTTAAACCAAAACTTTCATAAAATATTATTTTTTTAGTTTTTATAAAGAGTCTGCTGAATGATTAGGTTTTTAATAGTTAAATGTCAAATATAAAAAAGTTTCCTCTACAAAACAGCTTTAATATAAAAAAGAATTATTGAAATCAGACCATTAGAAGCTGAGATACAATAAATATTGTGCAACAGTACGTGGGCATATGGCAGCCATCTTTAATGGCCGCCATTTTGGTGTCCTACACGGAATTTGAATTGGCTCCCTATCTGAAAAGTTCCCTTTTGGTATCAGCTATGAGCCTATGACCACTGAAAGTGCCATATCTCAATCAAAAATTGCATCTTTTTCCCATGTATGGCCCTGTACACAATGTAATAACCTAAATCAAAACCAATATTTACATACAATTGAGGTCATCCTTCTGATGATATATTTTAATCAAACAAACATTTAAAATACGTGTTTACGTATTTTACGAGTTTACACCCCTAAATTTTCAATTATTTACAAACATTATAAATGATCCGTATTACAATATTTATCCATGTTCATGTCCTAACTGATAGGTTTATTTACTTCGATTAGTATCAAATTCTGTTCTATTTACACTTTTAAATGGCCCTAGATTCCCTTTTTGTTTACTAAGGGTTAGTTAAAGTATTAATTTAGAGTTTTAAGTTACTCTACTTTATTAACTTTATTTATAAATATATATTTACTTTATATTTTCTTATACTGTAGTTTATTCATCTTATTTATAAATATATATATATATATATTGTTATACAGGGTTATTACAAATGATGGACCCATTTTTAATGCTTTATAATTTTTATAATATTAAACTTACCGCTATAAAATATGCATCAAACGAAAAAGCAACTCAAAGAGTTTATGCCTTCCAAAGACACATCATTTAACAAAATCGATCCAGCAGAACTTTAGATTTAATTGTACAAAGTTAAAAAGTAATCTCCAACTTTTTTTACCACTAGAAATTTGGAGGTTACTTGACGTTTTTGCAAATAACTTTTAAATGGTGAGGAAATCGACCAAAGTGGAAGGTAATATTCCGAAAGAGAATAAAATTTCCTACAATCTACTATTAGGCATATCTTGAAAATACTCAATAAATGTAGCCTAAATTTGGCTTAAAATAAAAAAGTGTGAGATTTAATGTTTGCTATGTTTATTGTCTACATTGAAGATGGGGATTTTCAATTTTTTTTTTTTTCATTTTGAGGCAATTTTTGGTACCTTTCTTGAGTATTTTCAAAAAATGCATAATAGTAGATTGTAGGAAATTTTATTCTCTTTCGGAATATTACCTTCCACTTTGGTCGATTTCCTCACCATTTAAAAGTTATTTGCAAAAAAGTCAAGTAACCTCCAAATTTCTAGTGGTAAAAAAAGTTGGAGATTACTTTATAACTTTGTACAAATAAATCTACAGTTCTGCTGGATCAGTTTTGTTAAATGATGTGTCTTTGGAAGGCATAAACTCTTTAAGTTGCTTTTTCGTTTGATGCGTATTTTATAGCGGTAAGTTTAATATTATAAAAATTATAAAGCATTAAAAATGGGTCCATCATTTATAATAACCCTGTATTTTACGGGGTTTCTCCCTCACATTTAAGTTGTGCACGCTATGACCAAATGAGTGAAGATTTTCGACATACCACAAGACAAGGCAGTTGGGCAACGATTGAATGGTTCCCGGGGCGTTCCTCTAGTGCGGGCGTGGACTCCGGGGTTGCTCGCACGAGACATAAGGGGTGATCCAGGCGTAGTCCTTCCTCTCGTCGTCAGTTGCTCGTCATGGGTCGTTTTCTTCGGGTTGCTTTCGCAGTGGTCCTTGGAAGAGTGGTAGTGTGGTGGTGGCCTTTGGTCTTGAAGATAGGTTGTTGTGTCCTCGTGATCTTGAGTCTGGTCAGGATCTTAACAGGTGCTTCAGACTTTCTTGTCAAGTCACTGTCCCTACTCGATCCGGGACTCCCGACTGTTACTTCTTCGATGTGGTACTTCTTGAGACCTCTCCCAGACTTCTGAAAACTTTTCCTCTCCAAGCCTCCTTTCCCCCCTTAGATTTTCGGTTCTTCCCCCGAAGTCTTCGGGAAACGCCTACCCTCCAATAATCGGTGGAATCTCTTCGATCAGCATCCTCATCGGCTTCTCCACTCATGACAAACCTCCCGAGGGCATGGTGCTGACCGTAAGTAAATTTCTTTCTTTATGCATGTATAATTTCTTGGAAACACTGGGAACAATATTGTTTTCCTACAGTTACCTAACAATGTACATGTTCTCTCACTGATTTGAGGAAGCAAAGTGGCCAATTCGCTCATCAGTGAGACAATGTTAACATTGTCTCACTCAAATTACTTTGTCTCACTCCAGATTTGCAACGTGAAGGCACGAAATAGTGAGCGCGTAACATGCAGGCAACGTCGTGTGCGCGCGAAATACGTTGGCAGCACTGAATGTTAAATCAGCTGGTCAGCTGTTGTACTGTTGTATTTGTCACTTCACGTTAAATGTTATATTAAAAGTTCACTTCTGTGTAAAAATAGGTTATGTTTCTTCACCAATTTATTAGTTTTATGGTAACTGTAGGAAAAGTATTATGTGCAACTCGAGTTCAAAGTACAATTGCAATTGCCTCACTCGAGAAACCATTCCTCACTCGCCTACGGCTCGTGAGTAAGGATTTCTCTCGAGTGAGTCAATTGCTCACTTTTCTCACTAGTTGCACAAATAACTATTCTCGTCGGTTGTTCCCATCAGTTAGAATTTCTTCGATGATGCATTCCAGATAGAATTTCTTTGCCCATGAGAACATGACTTAAACTTGAGATCTTGTGATTATCTTTACTTTTTTATTCCTATGAGGGGTCAGCGAACGTTTTCTATTGTTCATGAGATTGTAAAGAAAATAATTTAATAATTTTAATTTTTAATTTCCATATGTTTTTAAGTTACAGTGTTCTGTGTTTTATATTTTTAGTTTATGATGAACCTGAGAAGAGGATAAACCTGATAATGTGGTAGGTGCCACAAAACATGTTGTTTACCAACAACAAACAAGGATATTGTAAGGTAACAAAATAATTTTATTAATTGAGATAAGTAAATCACTTTATAAGGTATGGCCATTAGTTTTATTTACGTAATAACTGTTGCAGTGCAAACATAATCTTTGAAAGATAAATAGGTAATACATTTTTTTTTTTGTATCGGAAGCAAGTTTTGAACTCTATTAAATGTGAATTTTGCGCACTTGTCCCCTCATACTGGTTTAAAGCTTCTAGTTGGTTCAATACAATAAGGTATATTTTTTTTAATGGGCCAAAATTCCAATAAACTTAACTTCTCCTAAACTATCAATAAATATTACCTCTCCACAAGATGGGCAGACACCGGATATAAGTTTGAAACTTGCTTCGTTGGTGGGTACAGATTGAAACCACTGAAACACACGTATTGATAATTGTGGTGACTTTTTACCCTGAGCATTTGAAACAAAGGCTATGGTTACTCGGATGATTCTCTCCTAGAGGAAGGTAGTGTAGTAAACAAGTTTTTACTGGCATGCTAATTATATCATAAAATACAAAAAACTAAATAAAAGCTATAACCTAAAATATAGTCAATACTATAATGCATAATCTAATATAACCTTTCCTCCCAGCTTCCTCCCCTCAAATGTAGTTAGTGGAAATTTCATATTTTACTCTACAATACTGAAAAACATTGATAACATGTATTTTCAGCTAGGTTTTGCAAATAAACTCAAAACTCTGAACATCATTAATGGAAATGGCACCGTCATTAATCCATATTAAGGTATACTATTAAATGTGTAAGTAAGCCTACCCACAACCATTATAGGTACTTTTTCTATAATCAATTATCCATGTGCAAAAACTAGAAACGATAGCAAAATCTATTTTTTTTATTTTGAGGGTTTACTGGAATTTAGAGGTTATGTAGGAGTTTGATACTTATAAAAAGACACAAGAAATGTCTTTATTCTTATGTAAAATTATCACTAACCTTCTTTACAAGCTTGTAACAAAGTATTAAGCAGCTTGTTATATTAAAGATATTTTAATTTTTTCCTAGAAATTAGGAATAACCGATACAATATTTCATCTGATAGCCTACGGGTAAAAATCTATGCACAAAGATACAATACGATATAGGTATTGAATGTATTGATACATCTCAACATCCCCTTCCAATACATATCCCTACCTATTATCGACACATTGACCAGTATTGCACATCATTACTCATAGTAGGCTAACATGGTAACAAAATACTGTGTACAGACTTGCTAAAAAGGCACTATAAGTATAAATAAGTTTTTTTTTAGTATAACCTGTTGTATAAATAACGATGCATTTCATAACATCCAAGTGCCACCACGTAGAATAATATAAGCCAGTGTCACAACATCCGAAATGACCGAAATATAATTCTTAAGCTGTCTCACAACCTCCAATAGCCTATAAAATATATGACTGTTGCATGACGTCCAAATCTCATCATGACCAAAAGTACAGTAATTGCAATCAACATATGTACTATAGTCTTTCTACAAGGACGTCATGAGATTAGTTGTCCTGAAACAGCACACTTGAAAATGTAGCAGTTGCGCCACGTCCAAAGCCACTGCCAGTTTTCATGACGTCCAATAGCTAAGCGCTGTCCCACGACACCCAGAGTGCCTGCACACCGTAAATACTTTTTTACCGACTGTAGTGCAGACTAATCTAACCTAACCTAGCTCTGTAAGCAAGAGCTCTAGACGTCATGCAACAACACTCATCTACAGTATTGTACATTGTGCAACTTACAGCGGCTTTGGACGTTTTAGTTTGTACAGGAGGGTGGTAACCATAATCCAATAAGAGTCGATTTCAACCAAATATTAGGCAGTGAGTTCATAACAGATTAATGTTAGCAGCACTTACTTACCCTACCATGGTAGATAATACTCCTGCTGTAGCAAACCTGCAGGCTAAGCCAATTTCCATTTACCTAGCTTTTCTACTAAAATATTCCCTTAAAATGACACAAACATTTATTTTATTTAGGAAAAAATGGTTACAAATTTGTTATATTATACAAATTTTTACAATAACTTTATAAATAAAATATTGAGGAAAGTTGTCGTTTGCGGGTGAGGAACCAATGATGCTGGTGACATTTCCTTTTTGTATGTCCATGGCGATTCGTTGAACTACGTAGCTCCTTGCTTTATAGTCACCTGTTTTTTTTCAATTAGCTTGCGGCCTATTTCATTTACCCAGTTCTTGCCTTCCTTGCACCATGGCCCAGCAGTTTCCACACTCAGGACGATTAACTTGTATCCTTTTGACTTAAAATTTGAGTATTTCGTATGTTTTCTCTGGGTGGCCATTTCAGCTGCTGCTCCGGTTTGATTTTTTGTTTGATTAATATAACTTACTGCGTAAGTATCAGAGCAAGTGAAATCCCAGATTAGACATTGGCCCTTGCTCCAGGAGATGATTGTGGCTCCATCGGGCCGCTTCCCATTGTTTCGGTCAAGACCTGTGGGTTCCAGTTGGGCTGGGATGTCGGCACACACCAAAGCTTTTTTTATCAGGTTGTTTACTTCAGCATGTCGGAAAAATCTTCCAGAACTTTTGATACAGGATAACGGGTGTAAACCTCTCTTGTCTACGATTTCACCACAGACACTGAAATTCTCGGCAGAGATTACAACCTAATCTAAGTCCAATACTAATTTGGAAGCTTTTGTCATCCATAAACATACCAATGTTTTTTGATGGAAAGGCATGTAACCATTATCCAGACTCTTTTTCTTTGATGGCATTCATTCTTGCTAAATCTTGAACGTTTTTGAATTTTAAATTTTCTTCTTCTTCATTACTATGTTGTCCCATTTATGCTGTAAGATTGGGCTTGAAGGCAGTTCATTGTAAATTTTTTTAAACTCTTCGATTCCATCAGTCCAGAAAGATAACGCCAATTCGTCAACTAGTATATCAAGTATGTTTGAGACGAGTGGTGTCACTCCTGCACATGATGAAAGAAAAGTGGGCAAACTCAAATCAATGAGACTTTGTATACCAGTGCCACCACGGCTTATGGGGAGACTTGCTTGTTCCATTTGCTTGGGTGAAATATTTAGGTTTAAAATATCCTTCAGGGATGAAATGATTGTATCGTCCAGAGTACTTAAAGCTTGTTGAAATAGAAATGTTGGTACACTTCTAAGTGTGTAAAGCATTTTGGGAATACCATGGCAAATTTTGAACAAAAAATATGCAATGTGTTTCGGTAGTGATTTAAGCCTTTCGACCATGATTTTCAAAGATTCTAAATGTTTGTTCAATGGATTTTGAAATCTTTCAAAACATAAAGGAGAATCTAAAAGATACAATTCTGACGAATGTACTGTTTGAATGCCTGGAAGAACAGTTCTGAAATGTGTTTCTATGTCAGGGTCAATGCTGTTTGATGTGAAAAATAACTCACACTTTTTAGGATTAATTGTTAACCCTATTTTTCTTGATTCACTTATCAGTGTGTTGATGTCCTCCCATACAGTTTTCGGATCACCAGCCAATGTACCATCCTCTAAATAAAACAGTTTTAGTTTCGATTTGAGCTTGAGCAAAATTGGATGAATGGCTAGACTAAAGGTGAGTGAGCTTGTTGGATCGCCTTGTTGACAACCAACACGTGATTCAATAATTTTGTTTCCAAATACCCCCGCTACAGCAAACCTGCCGACTAAGCGAATTTCCATTTGCCTGGATTGATTTTCAATTAATCTATTAAATTAACATTTATGTAACGAGTACCTAGGTTAGCTGCTACAGGGAAACTAATAAAGTGTGTTTTTTATTAAAATATCAATAGCTTAGTATGAAATAAATAAATCGGACAAGTTTGATCAAAATATATACATAAACAAGCAACTACAACATATTATAATATTCTCCATAAGAATAACATGGGAATTTTAAATTAACAATTTTTTGAATTTTCTCCATAAACAATCACCGTACAAAAACACTTTCAAATACTAAATTATTTGTTTTTTTAAGCTCTTTAAAAAGGTCTGGAAAAATTGATAAATTTTGTGTTTTAAGGGTAAAAAATTAGAAAACCCTTATTTTTACCCCATAAAAAACTTAAACCCCGTTCCCATGGTCCGATCATGCTGGTTTGCGAACTCATTCGAGTTTATCCCGCCTTACACCTTAAAACCAAATTTTATCAAAATCGGACAAAAATTACTTAAGTAATCGTGCGGATGGACACACATATATATAGGGTGTCCCAGAAAGGAATGCACTTTTAAAACGAAGAAAACAGAAAAATGTCTTTATTTACAGCAATTTTTGCAAGAATACCTGTTTGTACACTTCAGGGAAATTACTTGTGAAAGATTACATCATCCAGATGTCGACTCCTCCGGCGCCGGCACTCCGCCAAACGAAACTTTACATCTGCGAAAACTCGACTGCGGAGTTCTGGGGGATGGCTTCAATTTCCTCACGAATACTTTGATTTGGATGATCGAGGGCAGCAGGAGCGTTGTTGTACACCCGACCTTTTAGGTACCCCCACAAAAAAATCTATTGGAGTTAGGTCTGGGCTTCTCAGAGAAAAGTTGATGTCACCAAATCTGGAAATGACTTTCCCATGAAACAGCTGCCTTATTGCACTCATGGCGTGTCCTGCTGTATGACACGTAGCTCTGTCCTGTTGAAACCACAATCTTTGCCTGTCAGCCCGAGGTAACGTCTACAGGATGGGCTTTAAGTGATACTGGTTCGGGGTATACTCTAAGCAGCTCATTTTCTTACTGATCGATGTGGATTATCCTCCACAGCATCTCGAACACGCTCGATATTTTATTCAGAACCCACTTCTCTATGGCGACCAATGGGACGAGGGTTCATAGAGTTCAAATCAAATCAAATCAAATCAAATCAAAAGATCTTTATTCATATTTGTAAATACATGTTTACATGAATAGTATCAAACAATGAACATAAATAATTACATGAATAGGTAGGCTACAATCAAAATTATTAGTAGGACAATATTGATCACACTACTCCAGGTTAATTTTTTCTGAATTTTAAAATCATTTGTCTGTTCTAAAGTTAAAAAAGTCATCAAATGAATAAAGTGCCCTCTATATCAAAAATTATTTCAATTTCACTTTGAAACCTCTATCATCCTGCATGCTTCTTATGTGATCTGGTATGTGATTTAGGAATCTGATACCTTTGTATAAAGTTTTTCTTTTGAACAATTCTAATTTATGATTTGGTAATACTACTTTATTTTTATTCCTAGTATTATAACTGTGGATATCTTTATTTGTAATAAAACTATTTATATTATTTTTTACAAACATAATGCATTTTAAAATGTATAAGCTGTAAACAGTCAAAA